CTAATCTTTATGAACCTAGTGCAAGCATAAACGTACATTAATTCGGGACACAAATGAATATTAAAACCAAAATTGCTTCAATTCATTGTTTAATGTAACGTATCGTCTTATCTATATTCGATATATATACTATCAATTACAATAAGTCCAATCTATACACAATATTTATACGTACTAATTAATCAAATTGTATAGCCAATAGGAGGATGATAAACAAAGATCCAAGTTGGTCCAATCTTATTTATTTTTTAATTAAAATTAATATGGTTAATAACAATACGTAGTATACGTACGTAATGTATACGTAACAATGAATAAACATAATAATACATTAACCAATAAAAAAAGTCAAAATTACATCGAAAAGTGGCACATCTTTAGAGGCTGGAAGCACGGGTGTAAGGTCTGTGACGAATGTAATCATCATTCACATCTATATTGCACGTAGGACATGCAAATGGAATATATAGGCGATGTGAAAGTGAATAATCAATGTTAAATAAAAATAAAAATTATCGTTATCTGTATCAACCTTACAAAGCCTATCATGCATAACTTATTTGTGAGACGGGGCACAAGCCAGATTGCCATTCTCATGACTTAGTACCAAAGTCGGTCAATTAACTCATGCCACAACTGTTTTTCATTTTGTGGGGAATACGACTCTGGACAATTTCAGTGGCAGAACCCTAGAATATTCTGGTTTAAATTTGGTCGATAGTTCACACCTTCCAAACCTTGTTAGTATGATAGATGGATGTATCGTGGGTTTATTAACCGAATTTGGTTAATTGTAACTGGATGATAAACTGGGAAATACAGAAAATAAATGGTTATTCTAAAAACGGGTTTTTTAACATGATTCGAGTAATTTAAGCACGCTCTTTTAACAAGAATTTGGAAATTTTCCCAGTGAAAAGGAGTGATTTATATGATAATAAAAGATGTACGTGAAATGTAATATGACCTTTACTTCTTTGAAAGTTTAAGATGTCAGAATTTGCTGTAGTCGCTGTTGTTGTTAGACACTCTTCTACTATGAAAGGCAATATGCTAGAATGGGACGTAATCATAATTTTGAGAAGTGCTCATTTAAGATACATACACACAGGGTGAGTTTTCTCATTGAGCATGTTGAGTTATCGTGTATCTGAAGTTACGCTGTCACTAGGTGTAAAATCGAATAGAATTGAAAGCTCTTCGTGGCCAACTGTTTTGGCAGTTGAACGTTCTTCTATTTGTATCCGAAAAGTTGCGTCTATAATATATAGTAAAGCTGGGAGGTGCGCCCCAGGACGAGTGATGAAGAGGATATACACTAACTATTGAAAGCACTAACCGTAGACTATTCCGGCGTGCATTTCTTTAGTTGTTAATGGCAATGACGCATTTTACTCACTTATTTATTTTTGATAGGGGACCCAGCAACGGAGGTGTCGATATCCGTTCATGGATTCGTAGAACTGGTTTAATTTTTCAGTGCAAAAATTGTGATCATATAGGTTTGTTAGACGTTATGTTAATATAGTAAAGAAAGTATATTAAATTACAGATGATATTGGTTCCTCCGTCGTCCGTGAACTTAGAGGTGTCTTATGCGAAGAACGGCCAAGAATGATTGGTATCCTGGTGGGCCCCCGTGTAAGAAGTTTTTCAAGTGATGCAATTAGAACAGCACTACCGTATCATATTAACCGATCGATACCATCTTCCTATAATTCTTCTTAATCTCGCCATTAACATTAGTTTACGTCGTCCTTTTGATTTTTCCTTTTACCACAACCTAAATAACCGACATTCTTTACCTAACTATTAATTTCATAATATATACATTCTTACCTTTGTTATTTCTTTATTATTAATTTCGTAATGTATACTTTTTCACCCATAATGTACTTCCAACCCTTGTCGTTCCTTAATTCCTCCACCAAAGTGTGGTACATGGGTATAGTTGTTGGTAGAATTACTGAATTACGGCATAACATCTAATTTCCGTAAAACTTTTGTGCCGTAATGCTGCAATGCGTAATGCCGCAATGTCGTAATGCTGTAATATTCTAATTAGAGATTGAATTTGTATTAATTTAAATGTGTTGGATTATAATTCACGTCATTTCTAATTAACAAAGTCATTGCCTGCAATAGATAGTCATGTAGTTCAAGTATTTTTATTAATATATTTAATCTGTTATTTCTTAACAAAGGTTTTTTAATAAACATATATCTATATATTAAATTCTTCGTATTATTAAACTAATTGGACTGTTCTATATAAACAATTTTTTAAATTGAGTTACCTATTTGCTACGAAGATATTAGGATATCCGTGTAATATCGATCATGAGAATCTGACCACGTTGTTACATGGCTTCGCAGACCGAAAGGCAAGGGTGACGTATATTATAAAGAAATAAACTTATCATAAATTATTAGACCTTCATACAAACTACAGAATTTATATTAAATAAAATCTAGATTGCTTATTATAAATACAAAAGGTATATGCATTTTAGAATTTACTTGTTATGTTCAGCTATATACTATATCTCTAATCTAAGTTTTAAAATCACTAGAATTTAACAGACATGAATCTTATATATGATCTTTACATTATGTTCTTTTTTGTTGTTATATATATATATACAGACTCTTTGTTATTAAAAAATTATGTAACAAAAAGGATTAAATCTATTTAAATTATTTTATATTAAGCTTGTTTTCTAATTAACTAATATAAATACAGGTTGCTTATAAGGATTTTTAATGTTTAGTTTGCTGTTTATAGAAATTCTATTATTAGGTTTTCAATTGTATTTTGTAATAACTTATTACAGAATATAATTAAAAACCTGATGATAAATTTCTATAGATAGCATTCAGAAAACAAACTGAACATTGAAAGCTCAATGGCAGAGTTTCCTTTGCTGGTAACATTTATTATAGTTATCTTATCATTTTTACTATAAATAAGGCAAATAATAAAAATATTTAGTAAAACACAACTTGTTACAATGGATATAAATTGATTTAATTTGCTATAAGATTATTTATATTTAGGCTTTTGAACTTGTTTTGCTTTAACAATATTAAGCACCTTAAGTTAATAAATAGCCTACTAGTTTTTCTATTTTCTAAAATAAAAATAATTCAAATTAAAACTAAAATTAAGATTCAGCTTTCATTAAGAAAAAGTAACAAATAAGATGCAAAAAAGACAATTTGTAATGTTTTTATATCATAAATTACAATTTATTTTTATATGTTATTATTAGTAATTAAAAAAATTCTATCTAGTCTATATGCATTTAGCATTAACAATCATAATTGCCCAATGTTAAGCACATCAGTCCAATACATATTTTTTGATTATCATGCTTAATTTTAAATAGTCTAACATTAATATCCATCTAATTTTGCAATTAAATATCATGAACACATCCTTTTTATAATTATAAAATAATGAAATATAAGTTAATTTTTTTTTACTTATGTTAAAATCATAGTTATTAATGATTATTGCCTTTATTGTATTTTAATTATGATTACATAACTTGTACAAAATAAGTATACAACTAGTCACATATACAACTTTTGGTTGTCTATTTTAAGTAGTCCACCTATACACTGGGTTCTACACTAGCTGCTATATCTGCAATCTACTAGGAGATAACCTATTTAAATACTTTAATTCTTATACTTATACTGACAAATAGTACACAAGTTCCTGTATATCTAAATACTATCTAACCTAACTGTGACCTCTTTTTCTATACATCTATTAAGCTATTATATATTTCAAAGTATATTACCTAACTGTAAGGCTCTAAGAGGCCTTCTGCAAACTAATTATTTATATTTAATCTTTTTGTTAACAAGGCTTGCCTTTGTAAAGTTTATTTAGACTTCAGCATCAATTTCATAGCATATTTCTAGTACTTATAGTATATCTCTGCTTCTGATCTCAGACTTTTAATCCAGATAACTCAATAGAACTATGACCTGTTTCTGGTCCCCAGAGTCTACTCTTCAAGGTTTTTTTTTCTGATTTAAGACTTTTGATAGTCTGGTTAATGGTACCTCTTATTTGAGATTTTTGCTTACCTAATTTCTTCTATATTGATATCTGTTTCCTAGGTCTAGCCTTTACAATAATACTGTCAAATATTTGTACTACTTCTCTACTCAGGTCTTCTCAAGTGAACTCTGGTTTTTCAGTTTATGAATTTATATAACTACAAGAACTTATCTTAGATTTGTACTATCTAATACCAGTTTGCATTCCTCTATATAACTTTAACATTGCACAAATGCCCTATAACCTGCCAGTCATGCTAATGTGACCATGTTACAGGTATCTAATCTCAACTGATCAATGAAGTACTATTGTCATAATATTGCTTATCTTTTGTAATATCAATATAATATAAGTAGTTTTTTAAATTTTTATCATTAGTAGGTTTTGAACTTTTAACCTACTATTTGAAGAGTTGACAACTTATTTATTTTACTAAGTTACCACACTCTTTAAATATAAGTTAATTCGAATTAGACTTTTCAATTATAATATATAAAATATAGAACCTCACTATTTATTCTATATAAATTTTTAATTTTCAATCTTATTAAAAGTTATTTATTTTAATAAATTAATGAAAAGATATTTATCAGAAATAATAAATTATTATAACTAACTTTTTGTCAGAAAATTACTATAGTCAGGGTTGATTTCATATTCTTATATACAGACTATATTTGCATATTAATAAAAACTATATATATTAAATCATAGTCTGATTTATATAAAAGAGAATGAAATTATATAATGTCTATTTGCTCTAATCTGCTAGATAGGGTTGGGAACATGAAAAATTTTTAAAACATGCCCAGAAGGGCATGTTTTTGTAAAGAACATGCCCTCTATATATATCAAATACAAAAATAGTAATTTATAAAATTTTTATATATAAATTACTAAGTTCTTCAAAATTATCTAATAATTATGCTCATGTTTTGTATTTATTGACTTTTTTTAAAAAAATGATCTGAATTCTCTATAATATATTATCTTGCCTTTTTTAAATTTGAGTATATACTAGAGTTCTGCAAGTGCTAAATACAGTACTATTAAAACATAGTACTTGGTATAGGCACTAAGTTTTGATAATACTATTTCTAGTATTTACAGAACCTAAGTATATACATTGTTTAGCTAATTCAACATAACATAGGTTATGTTATTAATTTAATAAGTATACTGGTTATACAGTGTTGTAAAAAATTAAATCTAATATATTATTGAATATTTTATTAGACTTTAGTTAAAATTTTAATATAGATACTTTTATAAAACTAATCCAATAATTAATTAAGTATCGAATATTGTAAACTTTCAATATTTAAGCTTGTTGGACCTATTGAACTAACATTACTAATTATATAGATTTTAGTAAGTGTATATTATTAATTTAAATATGAACTTTAAATTTCAGTATAGTTAGTTTTATTAAGACTAATTATTCACTTTATATTCTAATTTATAGACAAAATGATTTGGTCCAGATGTTGGATATCTAAGTCTATTACAGCTATTACAGGTTTTATAACTAAGTGCTTTTGTTCTTAATTTTAAATTTTTTTTTCTATTATCTAATTTCTCTAATTCATTTATATAATATATTAAAGTTTTACGAATTTATAATTATCAAGTAATTATAGATCACAATATAAGTTATATATAATAATTTTTAAACAACTATTTGATTTAAATTTAAATTTTGATTTGACAATTCTTTATTTATCAAAACTATCAAATTTACAACAAATCTTAGAGGCAATTTGTGATTAAACTCTTTCTATAGATTATTAAAAAAACAAAAGTAAACAAAAAAATTGATATAGGCTGTATCATCACTTCTAATACATCATATTTTATAAAATAAATTAAAAAGCTTATTAATAATATTAAATCT